ATCCGTAGTCGACGAACGATTGGTCCTGCTGTTGAGGCGTCGGGAGATGATTCCGTATCCGATTCGTCGACTCCAGGTGACCTGACGAAATCTAGAAGAGCCCTGTTGAAGGACATCCGTAGTCGACGAACGATCTACTCGGATATTGAGGCATCAGGAGATGACACGATATCGGCTCCGTCGATTCCTGATGACCTTAAGAAGTCTAGGAATGCACTGCTGCAGGACATCCGTAGTCGACGAACGATTGGTCCTGGTATTGAGGCGTCGGGAGATGATTCCGTATCCGAGTCTAGGAATGCACTGCTGCAGGACATCCGTAGTCGACGAACGATTGGTCCTGCTGTTGAGGCGTCGGGAGATGATTCCGTATCCGATTCGTCGACTCCAAGTGACCTGACGAAATCTAGAAGAGCCCTGTTGAAGGACATCCGTAGTCGACGAACTGTTGGCTCTGATATCAAGCCGCCAATGGAGGACAGAATGTCGGCCTCGTCGATTCCTGACGACTTGAAGAGGCCCAGGACGGCGTTACTGGAAGACATTCGAAGTCGGCGAATGACTGGTTCTTCTAATGTCGAGGCATCGGGTGATGAGACAAAGTCCAATTTTTCCGTTCCGAATGGCGTGGCGACGTCCAGAATAGCGCTCTTGCAGGAGATCCGGAATCGCCTGTTTTCGAGTTCGAGGGTGGAAGGTATGAACGATTTAGAAGCGGAAGGCGGCGCGGGTATGGAAGACTCTGTAGGCGTTGAAGATTTGGAGAAGTACCAGCGTGCGTTGTTCCGAGACATTGAGAGTCGTCGCAGCAATTCATCAAGTGCGGAAACACCGGCTCAGGGTGTTGAGGACAGGCCTGACATGGTGGATAGTCCGCCATCGATTGTGGGTCCCAGAAGCCGGATTTTCACGAACGACTCATTGGAGTTAGCTAATCCTCAAGAAGGTACATTGGTAAATGGCGGTCATAGTCGCTCCGATTCTAGAAACACGTTGGTTGTTCGTCCGGTAGCGAGTGATATTGCATTCCTTATTAACCATGTATTCCCTACTCCGCCGCGTAGTCGTGCTGAGAGTTATTGTAGTGACTTTTCAGTTCCGTCTTATCATCGTCAGGAACCGTTCACTTCCTTCGGTGATCCAGGACCTCATTCAGGGCAGTGTGGTGAGCCAGTGGGTCAGCTTACACGTTATCGCACGGAAAGTGGCGGTGGTGAAGGTATTGGTAGCAATACTGACTGGTCGGCAAACGCGTGTCCGTGTGAGGCCAGCACCGAGGCCTCACAAGACCACTTCCCTGTGAGCGACGGCCTGAGCCGACAGTCCACCTATGAAAGCCCGAATATAATCCAACTCACCTCACTCCTTGGACCCACTGTCATCTTCTCCCCCACGACAATAGTAAGCTCCAGCTCTCATGGCGATGGCTCTCCGGCCGAAGAATCGCCCGTTGACGACGCGCACACCGGAAACTCGCCCGTTCATGGCTCCCATACCGAAGAGTACTCTCGAGCCCATCGCACCGATGGTGGCTCCGCCGTAACCTTCCAGAGTGTTGTAACCTTTCAGGGCATCGATCACCTCGACACAGACTCGCCTCCTACAGACAACGGCCCTTTACCTGTTGGTAACCCACCGTGCGAGTCCCTGCCGTATGGCCGACTTGCCAACACGGACTCCATCGCCACGTCCTACCAGCCGAGGGACGCTCCGGATATGACCGCTCCGAACCAGGGCCCTTCCTCACAGATTCCTTCGACCCAAGCTCCTCCCACTTCGCCACCTGTGGTAGACGAGTCGGACTTGGGTACCCATAGCGCCCAGCAACCTATCGAAAAATCCTTCGATCCGATCCAGCTGAACCGCCAAGATTGTCTCGAGACCGGAGATGGCCTGGACACCGGAACCGATGCCGGGTCGCCCGAAGTGCCAACTGCTTCGGATCCCGCAGACACGATTAGTTCAGACTGGGGTGCCGTTGTTGCGGACTTGCGTGCGACTGGTTCACACTCGGAAGAGACACCTGGTAGTCACCTGGAATTCGTGTGTGTCCCGGACAACCCGGAGGAGGAGGAAGATCATCCGGAGGAGGAGGAAGATCATCCGGAGGAGGAGGAAGATCATCCGGAGGAGGAAGATCCAGAAGAGGGTCGAGAAGAGAGTCCAGGAATGGAGGTCGTAGAAGTCGAGTCGTTATCTCCGACGTCGATGGAGGTTCCGATGAAGACGACAGCCCGTTTCCGGAGCGGGAGTTCAGTGAAGACGAGTCCCGACGGCGGTCAGACGGAAGGCGGTTTTGAGATGGCAGATTTCGGCCGCCGTGAGTTGTCTCAGTCGCTTTCGTTGAACGCGACCTTAAAGACCCATACGAGTCCGGACGGGTCGGTTGGTTCCAATGACTCGAACCGGAGCCGATGCCGGTCCCTGGGCCCTATACGATCAGGTTCGGTTCGTGAGTCGGTGTCCTCGACGCATCAGACAGACTACATGAATACGTCTTTAGAATCAGTAGTGACCGACTCTCCGCGAGTGTCCGAACCCAATTTGCAATCCTCTGCGCCGTCTCGCTCCTCGAGACTTGAGCCACCCACAGATCTTGAAGGTGTGGCCAGTGGTTCCGAACTCACTTCGGAGCACCCAAGTCCGCACACGCGTGCGGCAACCGCCGAATCCGGGATGCCTTGGTTCGTTCAGACTCTTACTCGTAACCACCGTCAGGATGACCCTGACCAAGCCGGACCTGCCAAGACCTTGCTCGAATCGCTTCCAGGCTTCATCCAGTCGGTCGCGGCTCTCGCTACGAGCTCCACCGCAACCGCAACTGCGCCTGAGCTAATTCCCACTGATGCTGATGTCGTAGCTGATGCTGCGGGTAGTCCCAATGATCTTGATGTAGTTCCCACTGATAATGAAGTGCCCGCTGATACTGAGGTTGCTCCCAGTGATGTTGAAGTCCCCGGTGTTGCTGAGACTGTTTCCGCGGAGGTTGAGGTTCCCGCACCTGCTCATGCTGTTCCCGCGGAGGTTGAGGTTCCCGCACCTGCTGATTCTGTTCCCGCCGAGGTTGAGGTTCCCGCTGCTGCTGGTGCTGTTCCCATTGATGTTGAAGTTCCCGCACCCGCTGATGTTGTTCCTACTGAAGTTGAGGCACCCGCTACTGCTGAAGCTCTTGCTGACGTTGATTCTGCAACCGCATTTTCGCTGCTCGCTGACTTGAGCCGCGTCCCGGAGGCTGCGGCTGTTCCTAACGTTTCCCAGGAGGCGGTGCAGGACGTCGGGTCCCTTGAGAGGGAGAGAGTCCTGTCCGTAAAGTCATGTCCCGAGAGGCCTGAGGTCACCTTGGAATCAATGTCGGAGGTGGCCGCAGTAGAGTTGGGATTAGTTGTTTCGTTCGAGCGGGAAGTTGCGGTAGGGGAGCCAGACACTGACGAGACGCCATCGGGTTCCGGAGGTTCCGGGGAAGATGTAACACCCCAGGCGGTACCGCCTAAGGTGGCGTTGCCGCCGACGGCGCCGTCGCTGTTGGCCGTGGATGATGAGAAGCGACGCCGAAAGAGCTCCTCGGTGTTCGGAGCGTTGCTGGGTCGGCGCACATCTCCAAAGTTGGGCCCGGATAAAGCTAGTTCTGACGAGAACAGTCGGGCTGGAAGCCGGGCTGGGAGCCGCGTGGACAACACCAAGGCCGACAGCAAGGCGGAAACTAAACAGCTCAAGAAGCTGCTCAAGGAAGCCGCCAAAGAGGAGGCCCGACTCGCCAAAGAGGAAGCCAGACTTGCCAAAGAGGAGGCCCGACTCGCCAAGGAGGCCGCTAAGGAGGAGGCAAGACGGTCCAAGGAGGAAGCCAAGGCAGCTGCCAAAGCCCTTAAGGAACAGGCCGCGAAGGAGAAAAGCCGTGCCAAGAACTCCAAAAACGGACCGAGGAATGACGCGCCAGTCACTCCTTCCGAACAGGAGCCGTCCGTGCCTCCCACTAGTCCAGTTCCGCAAGAAAACCACCATGACCTTAGTGAGTCAGGAGGTGAGCCACGTGGTGAAGCAGGGAGTGAGTCACAGAGCGAAGTACGGTGTCAATCGCGAAGTGAGCCGCGAAGTGAGCCGCGAAGTGAGCCACGAAGTGAGCCACGAAGTGAGGAGACCATAGAAGAGTCAATTGACGCGCCACGGGATGAACCGAAGGATGAGCTCATGGTTTCAGCAAGGGATGCGCCACGAGATGCACGAGTAGACGAGCTCGTGGATGGGTCACGGGATGGATCACGGAGTAAGCCACGGGATATGGGTGAAGTAAACGCCGGCTCGAGTGCGGTCGGATTCATACCGACGAGATCGAGTGAACGGCCGAATGTAGGGGAGCCATCAATAGGCCATGTCCGGACGGCGACCCCTCCGGCACTCGCCGCCACACCACGGACCGGTAGTAGTCCTGGCAAATCATACGCCTGCGTCCTCCGAGAAAATTTGGTGCAGGAACTGGGGATACCCGAACAGGAGATACCCGAACAGGAGATACCCGAACAGGAGATACCCGAACAGGAGATACCCGAGGCCGTGAGTACGCCTATTTCGAAGCGAAATCAACAAATTCCACGGGTCATCCTGGGCGCAGCGGACGAGGAGGAAGCACCCACGATCGACCGAACACCGAGTCCGACCTTACTCCGAAACAAATCGTATAAAGACGCCTTCTTGGGCACAGCTAATGAGACCATGGTAAGTCGCGACCCGACCACTTGGTGCGACCACTTGGTGCCACAGCATGCCGACCACTTGGTGCCACAGCATGCCCAGATGATCTCACCCAACGTTGCACATTTATTATATCCACCCCACGCATGCACGCCACATGCATCTACCCCACGGTGCACCCGTTGCCTGTCTTTTTCACAACCGTTTCTTCTTTTTAAGGCTGGTTCTCTTGTTGAAGAAGACTCGTTGACGGTTAGGTCGCAATCATCGCACAAGTCCGGTTCGAAGATACTAGGTTACTTTCGGCGGCAACACTAAGCATGTAGGAACCTTGTCAGGCTGTCGAATCACACATGTTCACTCTGAGATCGTTTCATACGATGACGGCCAGTGTACGGAGGATGCGAATTTTACTCGCACTGGCCCCCTTCCTACCCAACGCAGGTCGGTCAGTCGCATCTCTTTCCTCTCTGGAGCTGAAGCACTCTGGTCCTCTCGTAGTGCCCCCTTCGAACCACGACCCTCGTCTATCTGCAACGCACCCAAGCCCACTCCCAGGCTGGAAAGACGTTCCAGCCCCTGCTCCTAACGCCCCTACTCCTGACGCCAGCACGGTCCAGTCCTAACGTCTCACATTTGGCCTCGAAGTTTGATGAAGAAGACTTGTGCTTGAGCTTGAGCTTGATGCCGTGCGTCCATTTTTTCTGTACCGTCCATTGATGTTCAAATATGGGACTGCTGATATCTAAGTGTATGATGGCATGTTTTACTAATCACAGCCACATGCACGGTCAAGTTAAGAACCTCCCCCAAAATCGTTCGTTCGACTGTTGACGGGTATCTTTCGGGGGGGGGCGTGGGGGAATTTTGGTCCTGGAGAAAAGAGTGGGCCGGATGAAACGAGAGCTGAACCCGAACTCGGCTCCCTTTAGCCCGGAGTCGTGTTCTGCGGCGGGGAGTGTGTTGTGCTGCAAGCTGTTACTATCTGGGAACACAATGTCGAAGGCGCTGGCACTCAGTCGACAAGTTATACAAGCGGACTTGAAAGGATGCAACCGAAAGCGTGAAGTCGAAGAGTATCTCACTACCTGTAAAAGCAAACCTGCTGGCCTCCTCTCTCACCCTCTGGCTCAGCTTTTCATACCCCCACCACGGGAACGGTATATACATCCTGCTATAACCGACCACTGTTTATACGCCTTGCGCATCGATAGAAGTGAGGACCCCGCACCCGCCGCAGCCCCCGCACCCGCCGCAGTCCCCGCACCCGCCGCAGCCCAACCCTGACCCTATA